TCTGTACGGGGGGCGGCGGCTCGGGGGGGCGGGGGGGAGCCAGTCCACCAGGGGAAGAGCCAATTTAAAAACCAGTTCCCCATGTGGACCAGCTGCTTGCCGCCTTGTGCCCCTCTTTGCGGGGGGTTCGAGCTCCCTGTGGACAGAGGCTGGTCCACGGCAGCAGCTCCTGTCCGCAGGGAGCTCGGACCCCTCCCTCCCCCAGGGGCTGCTGCTGCGAACCAGCTTCTGTTCTGATAGAGGCAGCAGTGGGAGGGGGGGGGCAGACAGGTCTGCGGAGCTGGCACATGCAGGGAGCCTGCTTGAAAGCTGGCCCACCATACCCTCTGTGTCACAGGCAGCAGTGCAGGGGTTGGGGGCAAGTGGATCTGGTGCTTGTGGGGAGTCTGCTTAAAGCCAGCTCCTCATGGGCACCGGCTCCTGCTCCCAGCCCCCCTGCTGCCTTTGATACAGAGGCAACAAGAGCGGGTGGGTGCATGTAGTCGACAAGATTAACCAATAAGCTAAGCCTTATCGGTTAATCATGTAGTTGACTACGCACTGACATCCCTACTATATACCTGTGTAGCTTATTGCTGTAAGGGAAGGGGAATAAGCAGTGCTGGAAGGACTTCTTTTGTGCCTACGTGGCACTTTAGAGTGTGCATGTGCAGTGGCAGGCGTGCTCTGAGACGCAGAATTTATGAAGTTTTTGACCTATTTACATCTGTCTGGGAACAATAATCCTGAAGCATCGATGGCTCCTGCTGGTAGAAGGCTCAGTTGTAGATGTTAATTTATCCCTGTATTCTTAGGTTATCCTGTGCTAGCTCCTGCTGCGTACTATGACCAAACAGGCGCCCTGGTGGTGAATGCTGGGGCTAGGAATGGCTTGGGGGCCCCTGTGCGCCTGGTGGCCCCTGCTCCTGTCATCATCAGTTCCTCAGCAGCACAAGCAGGTAAGTTCCAAGTAGCGAGAAACGTGTGTGTGACGTCTGTCCTGTCCATGCGGAAGAAGGGACGATTCTGTGGCTTGCTGGCAATGACACACTTGGCCTCCCTGAGAACCACTACAGGGATTGCTGCTGAGAACTTTCTCTGGGCTGAGCCTCAAAATACATAACTGAAGAGTGGGCATAGAATAGATTTTGTACCACTTGGCAGAATTCCCGGGTCATCAATTGTATCTGGTGGCACCTATTTAAATGAAGATTTTGAGACCATTTCCATTAGAATTGTTTTACCATGCTCCTAACACACCTGTTTGGAATGAAATTTCCCAGGCTTGTGCTTTTTGGATTTCTCTCTGTGTGTGTGGGGGGAGGGAGGGGAGGTATTAGGATTTTTTGAGAGGCACTGAGGCGAAGTTGGAGCCAAATACATTCAGCCACTTTTAAATGATTGGAGAGTGGAAGGAAACATTCCCTAATGATAAAATATAAAAGCTCCTTTCTAAAGGAAACTGTCAACATTATTATTGTGTTACCAACCTTAGCTAGTGTAATAATACCTTAGATTATTAAAGAGCAAAGTCCCTTTGACTATCAGATCCTTAGGACTTTGTTTTCAGATTCAGGCATCTCCGCGAGTGTTGTTTTTTAAATTTTTTTATTGGATGTTTTTAATTGGCTGGACATATTTCTGTTGGCTTCAGTTTTTACAAAATTTAAATTAAATTCAAGCTGGCAGTTACCCCTTTAAATCTTAGCTTGGAAGCAGCTCATGTCTGCTTTTGGCTACCTCTTGCTTAACTCGCCACAAATGGTGATTATCTTGAAAAAGACAACCAAATAGTGACCAGCTGTCACAGCTATGAGGAGATATTGTAGTAGGCCAGCAAATGAGCAAGATACAAGCAATCTGGAAAAAAGAAATGTTCCGTGTTCGTAGCATAACTGAAGAGATCACAACCCCATAGTTGTGTAACAGGAGGCAGACGATCAGCACAAGGCCTGTGCAGCACTACGAGCTGCTTACGTGGAAGGTGCCTATACATTGTGCTGACTCTCTGCACAGAGGTGAATGTCACTTTGAGAGTAGAGTAGTTAAAATCAGTGGTTTAAAAAAAAAAAAATGGGACCTACTGCTAAGCCCCAAGATGGATTGTATTAGACTGTATTGTTAATTGCTTTTCTACAGCGGTTGCAGCAGCTGCAGCTTCAGCCAATGGTGCAGCTGGTGGTCTGGCAGGAACAACAAATGGACCATTTCGCCCTTTAGGAACCCAGCAGCCTCAGCCCCAACCCCAGCAGCAGCCCACCAACAACCTGGCATCCAGCTCGTTTTATGGCAACAACTCTCTGAGCAGCAATTCCCAGAGCAGCTCGCTCTTCTCTCAGGGCTCCGCCCAGGCCGCCAACACTTCCCTTGGTTTTGGAAGCAGCAGCTCTCTTGGCGCCACGCTGGGATCTGCGCTGGGTGGTTTTGGAACAGCAGGTAGGTCTGTTGGGCGAGAGGGAAGAGCTCAGATCACAGCTGGCCATGCTTGTGGAGTGATCGATTATAGAAGACCCAGGCTGATGCAGTCCTTGTAATTTAGGGCTTATGCCAACGTGACCATCTAGGCTAGACAGAAATTTGCCCTATTAGACTGGCTCTACTTGTGTGTTCGTGGAGTTTTTAACTTCCTCTGAAACGTCAGGAAAAAGGAGTGTGAGCTAGAAGGAGGCTTGATCTACTCCAGTCTGGCAATTCCTTTCTTAATGCTGTGGGATGCTGTTTGTGGGAGGTGGTTCTTCATCCCGTTGCCCTTGAGGCTGGTGTCTCCTGCCTGAGCAGGGCATCTACAGCCCATCTTTGCCTGAGGGTTGGAATAGCTCATTCGAGGGGATGCTTCCCCTCTTCATCTGAGGCTGAGCAAGCTGCATTGTTGAGCCATCAGTAGTTTTCTAAGTCAAGTCTGTTTTCATGAGTCATGTGTTAGAGATACTAGAGCAACAAATTCTATTAAACAAACAGGGCATAGGGCCAAGCAGCCCCTGGGCATTGATGGAAATAGTTCTGGAGAGTGGTTGTGGCAGGGGATGCATATACCCAATTCCTGCTAATGAACAAAAAGAGGAGCTCTTTGCCCAGCAGTTACAGCGGATACCAGTGCATGAGTCTGTTTCTTACACACTTCTCAAAACTCCCATTACCCTGAACGGCTTATAAATGTCATTTCATTGTATTCTCTCCCATTTCAGTTGCAAACTCAAACACTGGCAGTGGCTCCCGTCGAGACTCCCTGACAGGGAGCAGTGACCTGTACAAGAGGACATCCAGCAGTTTGACACCTATTGGACACAGTTTTTATAACGGCCTTGGCTTTTCCTCCTCTCCTGGACCTGTTGGTATGCCCCTTCCCAGTCAAGGACCTGGCCATTCTCAGACTCCACCACCTTCCTTATCTTCACATGGATCCTCTTCGAGCTTAAACCTGGGTAAGGGATGTTATCCCAACAGGGAGATAGTTGCCATGGTAGATTACTGTGATCTCTCTTGCCATGCTGAGAATTAAATTACTGTGTCAGTATTTAGGGAAGATGAGCACAGTGTGGATGTCACCCATATGTGGCACTTTCAGGACAGACCAGTGACTTGCACATGCCAGGCAGACTGAACTCAGAACTGGGAGTGGAAGACCTGGGTTTTAGTCCAGATCTTCGAGTGATTCGTTCTGTTTTTATGCAAGTTTTGATGCCTCCATTTCCCATCTCTCTCATTTCTAAACTGGGGGCAACACTCCACTTCCCTCCTAAAGCATTTGGAGGGCCGAGAAGAAAAGCACAATAGAAGTGTCAAGCACTGTTGCTTTTTTTTAAAAAGGAATCAGGTAGGCTTGTCCTATAACCTTTTCAGATGCTTTAATCTATCATTTAACCCGGGGTGGGCAAAAGGGCCTCCGCGGGCCAGATCCACCCACCAAGCGGGTTGATCCGGCCTGCAGAGACCCTGCCGTTCTCCCACCCCCAGGCCAATTTCTCTGTCCTGCCAGGAGCACAGCGCATTGAAACGCCACACGCTTCTGGCAGGGCGGGAGGAAGCTTCGCGTGCTTCCCTGCCCCCTAGCTCTGATTGGCCTGGGGTGGGAGACACCAGGGGCATGGGTGCTTAGCGGGAAAGGGGAGGTAAAGAGGTCTGTGGGTGGGGAAGCCTGAAGCATCCTGGCCCCAGCCCTTCTGGAGTGGCCCATGGCCACTTCAAAAATTATTGCCCACCCCTGCTTTAACCTGTTAAAGATTTTTGAATAAGGAAATAGTAGCTTCTACAGCAACCTCATGTTGTATACAAAACATAGCGATTTCTGGAGAAGCCTTAGTGTGCTGCTGTATTATGTTTAATTGTTCAGTTGATGAAAATTTCACATTAATGTGGCCTATGCAAAGGAGAATTGTAGTTGGATATTTAGTTTAGTGTATTGCTAAATGAAGACATCCCTGACCAACCAGGACTCTAATATACCTTAAATAATTCTATAAGAAGTGTAATTAAAAACAACTAACCTTTTAAAATGGTGCCTAGAAAAGACTGAAATGAAATGAGTTGTAGGCATTGAATGTACAAAAACAGACAGGAAATTGTTGGACTAACAGTCACAGACACCAAGTAATGCCTGTGTTCATATGACACAAGGCAGGTTGGCGGTGTCTCTACTATAGCCTGGCTCCTGCTGCTGTCAGTGCCCAACCCCACCCAAAAGTGATGCGGTGGATGAAATTGACAAGAAAGCCACTCTCAGTTTGGGCTGTCACCCTGGGGCAGGTGGGGGCCTCCAGCTAGAGCCTGACAGCTCACTGCTTGGGCTCCCCACTCTCAGCTGGGCTGCTGCCAGGGTCCCTGCCTCCATGCATGGAGCTCCCTGCCAGGAGCCCAGGCAGCTGCTGTGTTCCCAGCAGGCTGTCAAGAGCCAGGGGGACTTGTCAAGTCCCTCCTTCCTCCCCAGCCACCACTCTTAAGTCAGTGGAAGTGCGCCTGGTGAGGTCAGCACCACCAACAGAAGGGAAGTAATTACTGCAGTGGCTGTACATAGACCTATCGGAGCTCAGCCTAAGCTTGTAGTGTAGCCGTGCCCTGAGCCATGCTGTGGTTATGGTCTTGTAGCTGGGAAGTGACATACTCTGTATTACAGTGTGTTGTACAAACCGGGAAGCTTCATCCCAGCTCTTTCAGCTGTCCGATTGTCATAGCTGGGGAGTTACAGGACTAGCTGTTCTGCTCGAAATTCACACCCTACTTTAATCTGGATTAATTTCTCAGGGCAGACAAGCTGTGCTGCTGAGGATGGGTTTTAGTGTTGTATGTTCTGCTGCAGTTAGGGGCACTTTTCAGGACTCTGGGATAATACTTCTCACTGGTGAGCTGTGAATGGGTCCGTGATTACTGTTGGGTAATCCTGTCCTTCCTTGCACCTTCTGAGGCAGTTTGGTTTGAAAAGGCCTTTTCTTTTTAAACAGGATCCAGGTGCCCTCTAGTGGACAGCTACTGCACATCCTCACCAGCCCTGGTTCAGTGTCTCCCCTGGTGGGACTCTCAGCTGGCCGTTTCCCAGAGAGCTTTTCTTTCACTGCCCTTCTGCTGGGAATAGCTTCCAGGTCATTTGGAGCAGCCTGCAGACCCCGTAGGCAGAGCAGTCCCCAAGCGCTGCTTCCAGGAACAGTTAGAGCGGCCTGGTTGCAGCTGCCACTTTGCTGCTCCAGAGCTCTGCGCCCTCTCCTGCATAGCTCCTGAGCACCTTGAATTCACCAGCTCAGTGCCTTGCTGGCTGGCCATTGGCTAACACAGCCATCAGATTAACAGCAGGTCCCGCACCACACTCCAGCGGGCACCGGGAGAAACCCAACCGAAAGGTGCCTTCTGAAGTGGGGAGCATCTGACTGGTTCAGCACAGTCTGTGTTGGGTTGGCTGCTTCCGCCTCAGATGTCTCCACTACCCAGAGCCAGGGATACGGAATCTCGTCTTGCACTCCCCTCAGTCAGTTCACTCGTACCCCAAGGAGCCAGGTCTTCTTACTTCACTCCCAAATTGAGCAAGCCTCAGCCAGGCCCCCTGCCCTACTCGATGAGGCAAGACCGCCCTAAGACCTGTCATACGACAGTTCACCTTCCCTGCTGGGTACTGGCTTGCTCTATACCTCTATGTTAGGCTCCTGGATGCAAATGCTGCATCCAGAGACAGTCTGATACAAGCTCCATTGAATTGCCTCAGGATTTCTGGAGAGCCACTTGCAAAGCTTTTCAAGGGTCTTCAGAATAGACCAAGACAATGCCTCATCAGTTCCTCAAGGGACTCTGCACATCTCTTCTGGGGATTTTTACCCTTTCTTTACTGGATTAGGCTTCACAACAAGTCTGATCCATAGGTCCTTTCACACTGCATCTGCATCAGGAGTGACTTTATCAGCAGAAATCCACAAGGTCACATCCAACCTCAGTTCAACAGCAAATCTGAGAACGAAACTTTGCGCCTAGAAAGAAGGCTGAGAAATGCCAAAGTCTGGTCTTTTTCTGGGCTCCAGAAGTCAAATCAGAGTGTTACTCACACAACTACTTACTGTTATCAGAGAACCCTTCTAATCCCACTTGTCCTATTGAGCCCTTTGAAAAGATCAGCAGTTGTGGTAACCTCAGTTCGGGAACAGCATGTCAAAGCAATTGTCCTTGTCCTCTGCCCTGTCAAGTAGAAGTAAAGGGTTTTAATTCATGACTTATTTTTAGTCTTTATAAAAAAAAAAAAAAAAAAAAAAGAGTGAGGCTTTCTACTGGTTTGCCCTTTCTCAACCTCTCCTACAGAAGAATAGGACTTTCAAATAGAAACATTAACCCTTATGATTCAAAATTAGGGGTGGTCTGTGTGTAAGATTTGCCTGGGAGGGTCAACTTTACCATTTTGGAGCTATCTCACTCAGGTCTTCTGCATTGGTTTGGCAGCACATGCCAGTGTCAATTTGACAATCCTTAGGCCTTGTCTGCACTGGCCTTTTGCATTTCCAAAACCTTCCTTCTGATGACAAAACAGTGAGAGCTTTCACACTGCAATTCAACTTTTATTGGGAAAAGCATCCAGTTTGGGCTACAAAAAACTTCAACGCTGCGAGAGACTTTTGTCTTTTCTCCTCCCTTTGTTGTCGACAGAGAGCCAGTGTGGACTATGCTTTTTGTTTTGTTGAGAGCACTGGCTTCCACCAATATCCCACAATGACCGCCCTGATGTCTGTGCTCAGTGTTTTGTAATCTCTGCTGCCCTGCAGGCTGCACCTCTCCTCTTTCAAAGCTCCTGGAAGTATCTGACAGCTGAGTGAGCTGGTCTGTTTGGGGAACAAACAAAAACCAAATCATTGGACTGCTCCTGTTCTGCCTGCTCTGCTAGTTGCACAGCAGCAGGCCGGCTGCTGCTGCAGGGGGAGGGCTGGAGAGACAGCTGTGCTGCTTTGACCTTCCGCAGCACAGTGTGCTCACAGAGCAGCTCTGCCTTTCCACAACACTGCACTGTCGGATGCTTACCCACAATGCTTTGCAATCTGTCGACAGGGAGCTAGCCATTTGGCCAAGAAATGTGGACAGTGGGAGGCAAAAAGCCCAATTTGACCAGTTTTGAATTCTGGCGACTTTTGCATGTTGACAGCTCTTTTTGTTGCCAAACCGCCCCAGTGTAGACAGTCTCCTGATAAATTCCTCTTGTGTGAGACGTAACCACATGCACCTTGTTCCTGGTTGGTTTCATTATGAGCAGAGAGAAGAGCACATTGGTTCCCTCGTTGGCTATTGCACAGGTGAGTGGCCAGTTTTCAGAGATTCACACTCATCCCTTCTGGCCCCCGAGCCCACCCGTCTCTGGAACATGGTGATTGTTAGTGAGCACAGACTCTGTTTGAGGCAGACTTTAGCTTTGGGATGTCTGATCCTAAATAATTGTGATGTCCTGAGTGATACAATGAAGAGGAGCTTTAGGCTTCCCAACTCAGTGTGAAAACAACCAAGGTAGGATTCCTGTTGCAGGCATCTCTGAGAAGTATTTCTCAGATCTTCCCGTCAATTTATTCCTCAGGTGCCGTTTCAGATGAGAAATGACCTACATGGGGACAGGTTTTGGAGGGAGTTCTGTTAAAGTACAGTGCCCTCAGCTCACCTCCTCCCAGAATTGCTGCTTAGCTAGTGTCTATGCACATAGCAAATGAGCTACACCATTGGCAGAGAAATCTCTCTCCTTTTGTGTGCAGGATGGAGAATTTTTACCCCATCCAGAAGAAGCTGAATAATCAGAGATTCTTCCCAGGGCTGTGGGAGCCTAATGAGGCCATTTTCAGTTACTCGACTCCTATGAGAGGCATCCTATCAGGAAACCTTTTCCTTGATTTCCATGGGAAAGTGCAGTTAATTTTGTTCCTGGCACTGGCCATCTGCCAGCTTGGCAAAAGGCTCTTCATGTGGGCAGACCTACAGATGCATGCCTCGCTTTCCCTCATTCTCAGAGATGCCTTATTGGATATTTTAGGCACTGTGCTCCTCTCTGCCCCATACTGGCCTTGCAGACTGGGTTCCACTCGGGTAAGAATGGCTTTCTCTGAACCAGGTAGTAAAATCTTGTTACTTAAGATGAGTTGCAACAGCTGTCCACTAGAGGGAGCCCAGATCCTGTATTTTCCAATGACTGGTCCCTGAGATCTTCCTGACACAATTTAGGAAGGCAGCAAGCTGGTCCCTGGCACCAGAAAGATTGGGAAACAATGCCATGTAGTAAGGGGAAGAGTCTTCAGTGAAGCTGAGCAGGTGGCAGGACTAAGCAAGTTCAATACAGTTGATGGAATCTTTGTGAGAAATTGTGGTTGTGTTTGGGGTTTTTTAGTGATTTCCCATCAACCCATGCAGCCCCTGAATTTAGGATAAGTCCCTAAACTCTTCCCCGCTGTCACTGTAGATGCCATTCTAACCGAGAAGTCACTATTTCGTGGTGTTTTTAAAAGCTTAGCATCTTTTCAAGCATTATTTTTGCTCACCAAGGTTTCCCAGCAAAACGTGTTTTGGAGGTAAGCAGTAGGGCCCCTGTTACCAAGAAGAGTAAAACAATAGTAGAAAACAAGTAAATCTGTTTATTTTGTGCATTTTAAACTCATGCTGAATTTTCCCATTTCTTTGAATAGTTGGTTTATTTGAGTGGGTAGTTGAGAACAGAAGAGAATAAACCCTGAGGAAAATATAATTGCAAAAACCACACAAGTTGACAGATTTGGAGCAGGCACATCTGAAACACTTCTAATGCAGCCGAGGAGCTCGTTAATGTCCTAGAAATAGCTCGTCCTCGGGAAGACAATCCAAGATGGGCCCCACTCTTGCAAGTTCAAAAACTGCTAAATTTCTTGTGCATTAGCAAAGGTTCCAATTAGTGTAAATACAGATGTTACCTTTTCACAGTTGGCCATATTACTATACTACATAGTCCTTACAAGGAACTTTAAAGTACGGGGTGGGCCCTGAATGGGCTCAGAAAGTCAGAAGAGGATGTAGACGGGAAAGACAGGAAACTGACAGCATACCAGATTTTTAGACTCCATTAAAGAGTTTCAGCAACCAAAGTCCTTATCAGTTTTAAGCCAAATTCACCCATTGAAATCTAGAGGTGGTGCTGCTATATAGAACGATGCCTGCGTAAAGCACTGTGCTTAAAAACGGTGCTAGCTAAACTTTTCTGGGACATTTTGGCCAATCTAATTGAAGAGTTGCCAGCAAAACCAGTTTGGCCAGCCCAGGGATTGCATAGAAATACTTGTACACGGAGCTCCCGTCTCTGTAGAGAGCCCAGGCATTCAGCTGCTCACCTTTACCCTTTGAAATAGCCTCCTTTTTGTGACCCACAGGAGGGCTCACAAACGGGAGTGGCCGCTACATCTCTGCCGCCCCTGGAGCTGAAGCCAAGTACCGCAGTGCCAGCAGTGCCTCTAGCCTCTTCAGCCCCAGCAGCACACTGTTCCCCTCCTCTCGCCTGCGCTACGGGATGTCTGACGTCATGCCCTCTGGCCGAAGCAGGCTGCTCGAAGACTTCCGCAATAACCGGTACCCCAACCTACAGCTCAGGGAGATTGCTGGGCACATCATGGAGTTTTCCCAGGATCAGCATGGCTCCAGGTGGGATTAAAAACTGTACCCAGCATAATACTTTTAGGACATCCCCTCTCGATCGGCTTGGTGCGCAGGGGACATCAGAAGTGAGAGGGCACTGCACAGGAACGGGACTCCAACCAAATTGCCTCACTCTCATGCTCCTGGTAGATACTCTGCTGTCAGAGTTTGCTCCCAAGTGCTTTGTGTGCAAATAGGAGCATTCTCATTACCTGTGTCACCTGCTTGCGGTGCCAGCGTCACTTCATGTTCCCAGTGTTCAAAGGGCTGTCCAAGCGCAAGTCTCCTGGGCTTTGCTGCGCCTTGGGGAGAGTCTTGGGATACTTACGCTTATGCCGCCACTTACAGTGCCAGCCAGGACACTAAAAACTCAGTTGATTTTGACAAGAATACACGGGGAAGAGAGATGTAAAATGTTAGCCGGAAGGCACGATGCTGACTGGTTAACCAACCTTCACTGTTAGCCCCCAGCCGGCCTTAGGCTGCCAGACTGGGCTGCCAGAGCCACCCCAGCCCTCTCCCTTTAATCGGTTAACCGTTTAAACAATACGGTTTTAACTGTTTAAAGGGTTAAACTGTAAACAATGGCTACACCCCTCCTTTGGCATGGGGCTTAGTAGAATGAGTACAGTGAGGGAGTATGTGATTGTGGCCCTTTGAGTTATAACATCACACCAATCCTGTTCCTTAGGTTTATTCAGCTGAAACTGGAGCGCGCCACCCCTGCAGAGCGCCAGCTTGTGTTCAATGAAATCCTCCAGGCAGCTTACCAGTTGATGGTCGATGTGTTTGGCAATTACGTCATACAGAAGTTCTTTGAAGTGAGTTTTCATTCCCTTCTTTGCTCATCCCTGTATGACAGGAGTTAACCTGGGGGCATTGGAGGGGAGCTCTGCAGAGACCCAGCTCCCTCCAGATGCTGCTACATTCTCCCTGCTGAGGTGACTCAGGCCTGAGGCTGGAGCACTTCTGCCTTTAGAATGTACCACGTGTCAGCTGTCTCCTTAAAAATGTTCCCATTGGGAGGTGCTTAGACCCTCTGCAAGGACATGCCTGCCTGTGTTTCCAAGGGCAGGTATTTGCACTGCTAAACTGGCCGTACGTAACATACCTAGGAACAAAGTGCAAACCTCTCCAGAGAACTGCATCTTAAAGCTGCTATGCTTCCTCCTTGGCTGTAGTTAGGAGGGAGGAGGAAGAGCTCTGTATAGTTTAGAAGCTTGTCTCACTCACCAGCAGCAGTTAGTTCAAGGAGAGATTTTAGTTCACACACCTTGTGTCTCTAATAACATAGTTGGGAGGGAGCATTTTGTTAAAATAAGAAAGCAAATTGAGTTTGGGATTTTCAAAGGGGTCTAAGAGGATAAAGGGACCAGCTCTCATTAAAGTCACCCAGATTTCCCCCGCCCCCATACATTCACCCCTGGGACAAGGGAAGGTAGAACATATTGTAGGAATTCTTTCCTACTGAATTTGCAATATAACACTCCGCTAGTCTGCCAGTTCTGTTTTTAGTCCCATTGTTGTTGATGTACAGGCTCTCCAAAGCATCAAAGCTACATAACTTATCCCACGTCTTCTTCCTGCAATCTCCATTTCTCACTTTCCATGACTCTGCAAGCAAGTGCATGCATGGTCTTTCCCGGACACTGTGATAATGAGGTGGTATATGTGGCTGAATAGGGGGTCAGTACCTTTGCCACTTGACTTCCATTGATCGTATCAGACATGTCTGACACACAGTCACCTCCCTGTGTAGTTGATGCTCACCCAGAGAGCTTGCGAGTTCTTTGAGGGACACAACATGCTTGCCTGGGCTTTGAAGTGCTAAACCAGAGACTGTAACCTACTTGCTGCCCCTCTCCTCCCATTCTGTTCCTGGGCTGCTCCAGGGTTTCCTCCATGTCCGAACAACAGTTTTATCTTCCTTTCCAGTTTGGCAGCCTTGATCAAAAGTTGGCCTTGGCGGAACGCATCCGTGGGCACGTTTTGTCCCTGGCTTTGCAGATGTACGGCTGCAGAGTTATCCAGAAGGCTCTTGAGTTTATCCCCCCAGACCAGCAGGTAATTGTAAGTTTCCATTTTAACTTTCTTCTTGATGTTGTATGTTCCTTGCTGTTTGGTAGTTGAATTATAATACACGTGTTGCATTGTTTGTGTCTGTCGGTGATTTTCCTTTGGTTTGGTTTGTGACACAAGTGTCAGTTTCATGTGCGTGATAAGTGAGTGACATTCTGTGACTTCAGTGCAGACACCGAGTGCCATCAGACTCTGCCATCTCACAGTTAATGGTTAATGGGGAGGGTGAGTTTGATAGGAGTTGGGAGTCCTCCATTTAAATCCCTCTTAAGCAAATAGTTCCCAAGTTGTTGCTTCTTTAGCACCCAGTAGGACCTCACTTCATTAGTGGCAGACTCCTGCCTTTCAACATCACCTATAAACTTAATATGCTTTTGTGTATTGGGGAGGAATTATTTGTTCCTTCCAAGACATTAGCCAGAGAGACCAAGTTTATTGGACACCTATGGAAAATTGCCTAGATTCTGCAGCCAACAGGCTGGCAAAGGGCCCATCTTCTCCTTCAGGACCTCATCAGTATTGTAGAATAGTGATAGAGATGCAGTATTTAAAATGAGAACTGCAGTGCATGGTCCAGAGATCTTTGGGAATCACAGTTTAAAGCTCTCTCATGGCTTTAAGAAGCCAGTTTCAGTTTTAATGTAGAAGTGTATACACTTTGGCTCAGGTCTAAGCTGTTTCTCAGCACAGCAGGAGAGTTGTGCTGCAAGATCAGGTGGTGTGGAGGCCCCAGAGAAGTTGTCAATCTAAATCTTCGCTGGTGTCGTGTCCCAGTGTAGTCTTCAGAAGTGACTTTTTTTGGATCAGTTGTAAAAGTGAAACCCTGACCATTCTTTGTCTTTACAAGTTTTAGCCGTGTTAGTCTGTGTCAGCAAGGAGTCCCTATGGCACCTCAGAGACTAGCTAGTTTATCTGGGCATAAGCTTTTGTGGGCTGGAGCCCACTTTCTCAGATGCATGCAGCACACGAAAGATTACACCCAAATCAGTTGGTTAGTTTTTAAGGTGCCAGAAGGCTCCTCATTGTTCTTGGCTTTACAGATTCCATACCAAGCTTTACAAGAGGAGAGCTCTGCTGTCACCTAAACTCCTATTATAATTAGATTAATATTATTGACGTTCCACTCACTTTGTCCTGTACTATTGGCATTTCTGTGTTCTGAATAATCGTTATCACCTTCTACTCTAGTGGTAGCTGCATTTCATCATGATTGATTACAAAATCATCTGTGTAGCACAGTAAACTTACTAAATACCCTATCCATCACATCATCGGCGATTGGAAAACTTTCATTGCCGTAATGTGGAGACACACTTAAGTTCTTCGTGGAGGACTCTTACACTTTTAGATTTAGCATGGATGTCCTTTAGTTATTACTGAAGATTCTGCCTGGATATTTGTCAGCTCTAATCTCAGGGCATGCTTTGTTTGTATCTGTCTTTCTTCCCAATAGAATGAAATGGTACGGGAGTTAGATGGTCATGTACTGAAGTGTGTGAAAGACCAGAATGGTAATCACGTGGTGCAGAAGTGTATTGAGTGTGTACAGCCTCAGTCCCTGCAGTTTATCATTGATGCATTTAAGGGACAGGTAAGTTCTTGAGAGGATGCAAATAAAATGTTGAGCCTCGTTCTCTGTGTTGTTTGAATCACTTTGAACAGAAGTTTAGTTGCTATAACTCACCCAGACTTTTGGGTTTTCAGCTTTAGCATTTTGTTTTCTGCAAACATCATTGGGAAGAATTTAGTAATAAAATATGGCTGGGCACCTCTTCATTCACAAGCATTGACCTTTTGCCTGGAGGTATATCACATAGAACAGCCTTGCAACAAAAATGTCTTTTGAGCATGTGAACAGTTTTTTTTCCATCAGCCTTCGCTGTAAGGATGATGAGTATGCCTTGTGCTAGACTTTCCCAAGGATCCAGTTGTGGGCCAGAAAGCTTAGTTTGCTTTGTGAGATGTAGAACCATTTCCGCCCCATTCCATATGCTCATGGATAACCATTGAGTTATGCAGCAGTCTTTATTTGTGCTGCTGTATTCACTTGTTTTGACCGTTTCATGTAAAATCCCCATTTTAAGTGTCTCGTTCTGCTGCCATAATTGACTTTAAATTGAAACTGAAGGATGAAATCCCAGCCTGAAAGTAAGTGTTTTGATGCTAGGAGTCTTTCGGTCATAATTTCACTTACATCCCTGACCTATATAAGCACGCTTTAAAATGTAACAGTAAAGAAAACTTTACTACTTATACACTGAATCTGCTCTATGGGTCTTTCCAAGGTGCATCTTTCTTAACATGCCTGGTGTGTGTGTTTACTGTTAGCCTTGCAAAGCCGGTCAGCTGAGACAACAAGTGAGAATCTAATCTGCCATATTCCATAACAAACTGGCCAGATCAGTTCTGACTCTTCCAAGGGAATATAAATGCAGAGGACGATCTAAAAGGCAGAGAGAGTCTAGCCTAGAAACTTAGATCCCAGATGATGGCTGTCAGAAAAATTCTCTTATGAGCCAGTTCCATCTGGACTTTATATTGAAAGAGTAAAAGTGGCACCTCAAGATTATCTCCAAATTTAACTGCACTCGAAGACGCATTCGTATGCTTGTTCAAGAATCTTTTTCTTGATAAATTTCACACTGTGCATGTGCTGATCGCGCTGCGGTGCAGTGCTGGGCTAAAATCTGCTTGCCACGGGCAAGTAGATTGCCCTAATTGTCGAGCCCTGATAATTTGCATAGGCAGTTAGGCTAGCAGCTTTGTGTCAACTGGTTTGAAATAGCTGAAGAGAATATTTTGCTTTAAATAACAAATGGAACAGCAGTGCTGGAATGGGGAAGGTGGTGAGCCCTTCCCAATCCATTGTAATATTTTGGGGAGGGAGACGATTCTTTGACGAAATGGTAAGGCGATAAAATATGTAAGGCGATAAAATTTGAGGAAATTCCTTTCTCGGAGTATCTTTTCATGTGTTCTCAGTGCTGATTGAAGGACAGAATGTACTTTGCCCTCCAGTGAGCTTTTTTACCTGTCACTTCTTTAAGACACTTCTTACATCATTTTTGGCATGTAGCTGCAGTTGATAACCAACGTTGAGCTGAAGCAGAGTGTTATGAAACAGCCTCTGTAATGCCCCCACTCAGCTCTTGGAAAGCGCTTTGCAAGGAGCGTTAGTACCATGATCCCCTTTTACAAATGGGGGAAACAGAGGCACCGTGCGATGTGGCTTGCCCAAGGCCATCCAGTAGGCCAGTGGTATGAGGCTGTCGTCTGTCTCTGGAACCCCTCTCAGGAGGCTGTTGCTTATTGCTGGACTCCTGGGGGGAGGAGGAGCCTCAGGAAGAACCCCAAGACTGAAGCAGAAAATGGCACGATGGTTTCTGGAAGTCTTAGGTTCCAGGAGTTCCATGACACGAGTGTAGCCTTACTTCTGACAGTTTGGTCTGGCAGAGAGAGAGCAACAAACTGACTCCGAAGACCTGAGCACTAGGAATTGTTCAGTCATAAGTTTGGTTTGGGTTCAATTGGGGTTGGTCCTGCTTTTAGCAGGGGGCTGGACTCGGTCTCCTGAGGTCTCCCCCAGCCTCTGGTTCTCTGGTTGCTTATGTGAGACAGTCAATGAATAAAATGGTGCTATTTTTACTATCACTTTTCTATTCAATTGCAAAGAACGGGGAAGTGTCGCCTGTGCTAACGTGTATCTATTGAATGCAGGTGTTCGCATTGTCTACACATCCATATGGCTGCCGTGTGATTCAGCGGATTCTAGAGCATTGTCTGCCTGAGCAGACCCTCCCCATCTTGGAGGAGCTCCATCAGCACACCGAACAACTTGTGCAGGTAGTGGGCAGGAATTAGGAGGGTGGTTACTGCACAGCCTGTTTCAGTTGCCGCTTTGCATCAGGGAAGTTTTGGGATGTGGGGCTCTGGCAGAGCTGGTGCTGCGCATGCAGACAGCAAGGACAGCCCCTTTGCTGGAGCTTTTGGCCACTAACTCAGGACAAGATGTTGTGGGCTCCCTCCCACAGCAAAGGAGGGAAGGAGAAGACAGGAGTGGCAGCATGAAAGGAATCTAAGATTGCAAGGATTGTAATCTACGTGTATGTCTAGACCTGTGGTACTCGGCCAGAGTAAGGGTCTGCATCAACTTTTGTCAATATTTGCGTAGTTTTAAATGGGCTACATATCAAATACTAGCAAATTCAGTGCAGTGACTTGTTTATGCTCCATACACTGTATGCCGAAATGTAAGTACAGTATTTATTTTAAATGTATAGCTATCTGGTAAAATGAGAATGTAAGCAATTGTTCCATGACAGCGTGCTCTGACGCTTGTATTTTTGTGCCTGATTTTGTAAGCAGGTTGTTTTTAAGTGAGGTGAAACTTGGGAGTACGCCAGACAGATCAGACTCCTAAGGGGGTACAGTAGTCTGGGAAGGCAGAGTGCCACTGGTCTAGACAGGATGTGGAAGAGCGCCTGTCAGCATGGGTAGACAGACCCCCACTAGTTCTGCTCAAACTAGTGTGCTAAAAGTACCAGTGTACCTGTGGCAGCATGGACTGCCGTTGAGAATAGCCGCCTGCGCATGTACTGAGCGGGTCAGGTGCATTTGTACGCAGGTGCCTAACCTGAGCCACCATCCATGCTCCTGCCAAAGCACCATGCAGAGCACGTCTCACGGCACATGCTGGGAAGCACCGTCCCAGCTGTTATGTAGGTGCCCGTCCCTGTGCAGATTGGAAGCATCAAAGCTTTTGAGCCCTTTGGAAAGTGAAGAAAATAAATGACTGAGTCGACAAGCCACACGCTGAGCCATTCTCACCAGGCGTTATGGTGGGGGCGGGGAGAGAGCGTTTCAGGACGGGATGTGAAGCAAGGGCAGGGGATTGGCTCTGGGAACTATAGATGTGTGTTTTGATATTCTAGACTTTGGAAGCTGAGGGCATTTGAAATGGTTTCTTTGCTTAAATTAGTAGCATTTGCTTGTGCCATGTTCAAGAACCAACTGTTTTGGATTAGAATTGACATTTTACCCCATAGTAAAACTTGAGAATGTGACTGTCTCTAATTATAGAAATACAGGCAGTCCCCGGGTTACGTACAAGATAGGGACTGTAGGTTTGTTCTTAAGTTGAATCTGTATGTAAGTCGGAACTGGCGTCCAGATTCAGACACTGCTGAAACTGACCGCCAGTTCTGACTTACATACAGAATCAACTTAAGAACCCCAGGCGTCCCCAAGTCAGCTGCTGCTGAAACTGATCAGCAGCTGATTCCAGGAAGCCCGGGGCAGAGCAACTCTGCTGGCACCGGAGCAGCGAGAAAGCCCCGTTCGTAAGTGCGGATCCGACGTAAGTCGGATCCGCGTAAGTCGGGGACTGCCTGTATATGCAATAACATGTCACTTACTTTTGAGATATTTTCTGCAATCTGGTAGCTAAATATTTATTTAGTTTTAATTTATTTATTCTTCTTTGAAAACCATGTTCTTTCGAAATCAGTTCACCTTATCGATAATTTTAAGTTCTGCTAGTGATTAAATTTGTATCTAGTTAAAGGGATGGGGACCTATGGCCCAGCATGCGGCATGTCTTGATCCGGCCCACGAGGCTTGGGCTCTCTCTTCCCACAACAGAGCAAGCCAGAGCTGGCTTGTCCTGCTATGGAGTCCGGAATCCCAAGCGTAACAGGCTGGATCAATGCAAGTTACAGGCTGCATCGGGCCCACGGGCTCTGCCTAGCAGGGGAGAGGAAGTGGTTCTTCATTCTGATGTCATCCCCTACTCCCTCTGGCTGGGGAAATGGCAGCTCAGAGAAGCTCTGGTCATGTGCTCACATGCGGTTCTACCACAGGGGAATGGTCAGAGGCCATCTGGGGGACCACCAGCCATGCAACTCCTCCCCCAACACAGGGAAGGGTCAGGACCATTCCTCTTCACCTCTGCTCTACTCTTCCCTCTCTTGCGCTGTCCTCTCCCTGCCTCTCCTCTTCCCCCCAACCAAAGCAGCGCCGTGGACCAGCAGGGCTGGTGTCAGCAGGGGGGGGGGGCACCAGATCCGGCCCCCAACAAGTCACAGACTTCACCACACGGCAGGGATGGGGAAGGGAAGCCCAGAGCTTCACTGTGAGCTGGATCAAGGGAAGCTGGGGGCGAGACCCAGCCTTGCAGGGCTGGAGCGAGCAATCCCCAGCACCCTTAGTATGTCTGTGTGTCTGTCTTTTGTTTCTTGGGGGCCAGGCCAATGAGGTTTGTCCCTCCCCCAGCTGGGGTGTTTACTTTCACTTCACTTCTTTTGCTTCTGGGGGTGTATGGCCCCCATATGATCTTTCTTCGGGTAAGTGGTCCCTGTCCAAAGAAAGGTCCTTCCTCCCCCGATTTAAGCTTATTATGTGCTACTAGTGTATAGTTGAACTAAAGTTTAAAATACTTACTAGCACCAGGAGCTGGTTTTATGTTAATGGTTTCTATCCGCTTTGTTACAGGATCAGTACGGGAACTATGTTATCCAGCATGTACTAGAACATGGTCGGCCTGAGGACAAAAGCAAGATTGTAGCAGAAATTAGAGGCAACGTGCTCGTGTTGAGTCAACATAAATTTGCCAGGTTTGTGTTTGCTTAGTAAAGTCCCAATCCCTTACAAACGTTTTTCTGTCGGTATTAGCCTGACAGAAGATGGCAGTAGCAGGATAGTGACAGGACTGTAATTTCTCACTCGTTAGCATTCCAAAGCGCCACTTTGAATCTTTCACAGGAGGAAGAAAATAGAAGTTTAAGAATACATGTTGGAGAGACTAGAAACAGGCACCAAAGGGTCCTGCAAATGCAGCAAATGTGGCCTCCTGGTTAAACAGATAACTGGGAATCAAGAGCCCATGGCTTTATTCCCCCTTGAGAATGTATAGTGTGATGTTTGGTCTGATGTAACCTCCACGTGCTTCAGTTTCCCCATATTCTCAAACTTGCCTCTCAGGTGCTGTGAGGCTTAATCAGTGTATGCAAAACACTGAGATTCTTCCAGTGATTGCTCATGTCCATTCCATGCAGGTGTGCACGTTGCATACACGCATCCTCAGAAGTTTTTTCCTTAGCAGTATCTGTTGGGCCAGCAGGGGAGTCCCCTAGAGTGTCACCGCTATACTGCCTGATACATACCCCCGCTGGCCCTCCACCCCCTCAGTTCCTCCTTACCACTCATGACCAGTCTTGGAAGGGGCTTTGCTCTTGCTCTACAACCTCTTAGCAGTTTTCCTTGTCCACAAGTTAGTTGAAGTATTATCAGTGAAGTAGCCATGTTAGTCTGAATCTGCAAAGGCGGCGAGGAGTCCTGGTTAGTGTCTAAGGCGCCGCAGGACCCCTCGCTGCTTTCATCAGTTCCTTGTTGTTATCTAGTTGTAAATGGTTAAGTGTAGTACTCAGCGAAGAATTTCTGGGGGGGGGGAAGCTTGCTCGCTTCGCATCTGTGGCAGGGTCCCAAGGCTTCAAGCCCTGTGTGAAGTGCCAGAAGCCTATGCCCTGTGGAGATCCTCACAAAACTTGCCCCAGGTGCCTCGGCAAAGCCCGCCTGTCCCTGGTGTGTAAGATCTGCAGGGGCTACATGCCACGTACCAAGCGCGAAAGAGAAAGTCATTCTCGTGGAGGCAGCTCTTCGCCCGGTGTGACGGCGCGTTGGGGGTCCCCCGTCTCCTGCACCCCGAAATGGCACAAACAGACTGCACCAGCCGGTGGAATAGAGGAAGTTTATTGCCTCTCCTGGATACAGCAAAGCATAGATGTAATCTGGTCACAGAGCTGGGCTAGGATGCCTCAGGCCCCCTTGAGATGGGGGAGACTGGGCCCCTAAACTCCAGCCCTTTTCCCTAGGCTGTCTCCTCCATGCTCCCAGACAGCCAGCAACCTCACTCTCTTCCAGCCCTGCCCCCCAGCCAGGGCAGCCTCCACCTTCCTTTG